CTGCAAGCTTGAGAACAGACCCTGAGCCACCACGTTGAAGCCCGGAGCAATAGGGGCAACCTGCCTAACCCCTAAACCCGTAAACCCGAAACCCTGACCCCTAAACCCCAAACCCCTAAACCCTAAATCCCCTAAACCCCTAAACTCCCTAAACCCCTGTAGGCCCTAAGAAGCATCAAAAAGGCGCCTCGCCAGGCCAGCGGACTTGTAGAGTCGGGGAAGGTGGAGGACCCTCCCAAGCTGGAGGCCTGCTTTATGCGCGCAGCGAGGGTTTTAGGGTTGTAGGGGGGGTTTCAGGGTTTTTTAGGGTTTAGGGCTTTAGGGCGTTTAGGGCTTCTAGGGTTTAGGGTTTTTAGGGTTTTTAGGGTTTTTAGGGTTTCAGGGTTTCAGGGTTTAGGATTTAGGGCTTTAGGGTTTTATTGCTTTAGGGTTTCAGGGTTTAGGGCTTTAGGGCTTAAGGGTTTCAGGGTTTAGGGCTGATTAGGGGCCTTGGCTCTGCGAGTAGACTGCGGATACCTGTTTTGGATTCTGCCGTAGGTTGTAGAGGTTATGCGGGTTTTCAGGCTAGACTACTCAAAAAGCCGAGGCAAGTTGGTGTTAAAGGTTTTGGGTCTGTCGGAAGCTCCAGAAATGGCCACGGCAATTGTCGGTGTTGGGGCTGGGGCCTAGAGCCTGCCTGCAGTTTCGTATCTGATGCTGCTGACACCTGCTGGCTGTGGCATCTGCACTACACTACAGACATGACCGTCATCTTGCTTGATGACAGGGAGCCCCATTTCACCTGTCAGAAGATGTGGCCTGAAAGCCAGGTGCTTCAGGCGATGCTTTCGCAGGAAGTGACACAGAAGAGAACACGCAAAAGATCGGCGTTCGCCTCGCAACAGGGCCACCGCAGCATCCACCGAGTGCACCCACGTCAGCAGCTCCTCGCGGCGTGGGGAGCTGGAGGTGCAAAGACATGCTTTTGATCGCAAGTGTGGTCTTGGCTTCAAGCATCCAAAGCGCATGAAAAGCTTAGATGGAGCCATGGAGCACAACGACCGGGCCGCAGTAGGGGTTTCTCTTCGGAGTTCGGCCATCTGGCGTATGTTCAGACGCCACGACAACTACGCTCGTCCTCCATGTCTCTCAAACCGAGTGGAGTCTCGCAGGCCCAAGGACAACAGCTTCCCATAATAACTACCCAAAGCTATGGACCTGGGTACAGTTTGATAGAAGATATCTTCTAGAGGTTCTAAGGACCTACGCGTCTCGGGCTCGTCATGATGATGTCTCTTTTATAACTTCCCGCTAAAGGATCGGCGATTTGGGCCAGAGTAAGGGCCCTCCATCGAATCTCTGCCGAGGCTCGACATACAGCATGGTCACCAGCAGCCCTTCCTCGGCCCAGGTCCCGGGTCTTGAGATATGAACAGTGTACTCATCCACATACGCATGCTGAGATACATACATACATACATACATACATACATACATACATGCATACATGCATCCCTGCATACATGCATGCATGCGCGCATGTCTGAATATGAGACAGAGCTACCCACACACATACATCAGTAGACACGCACTTGCATGCGTCCATGCATACAAAGCTTTGCTGCGGAGATTTCTGGAGAACGCAAGGGCTCTGAAGCAGCAGAGGCCTCTCACAGCCGAGTTACCGAGGGGCTTTTGAAAGAATTCTTAGCTCTTCTTGGCACAGCATGTCCAAGCAGCTGGATACTGCCACTTCCGCCCGGGGCATGTGCAGCGCTCGAGACGCAGGCCTGAAAAACCCTGAACCTCCCAGTCTCATGCAGGCGAAAAGCCAGGAGGCACACCAGGCCCACCTCCCGCAGCATCCAGCCATCTCGGATGACCAAGATCGAGGCCATCACCGGAATGTTAATGGTCCTCCATGAGGCGCAGGAAACCGAAGGAAACGAATCCACAAGCTTCTATAGCAAATGAGGCATTGCCTACGTTTGCTTTTGGTGGAACTCACGGTATTTTGTGTTGGAGATCCTGGACGTGGGTCCTTCTCGTAAGGATCCTAGTATTATAAGGCCTCTCAACATGAAACGCCTAAACCTGGGACCTAGGACCAAGGACCTGCTGAGCCTCACTGGGCAAGGGATGCCATTGCGCTCCTCTTTGAACTGCACCGTAGATTGCCTCTTTTCGTGTTTAGAGCGCTTGTTGGCAGCACCTGAAAGAAAGGAGCCATTGCTGGACTTTGCCTGCGATGGGTTGGGCAGTGCCATGCACTCTTTGCTGCTGAGGGCGCGTTTACAAACCATCGCGATGGATGAAGTCGCCATCACAACCGACTCCCAAAGGCCCTGTCAGTCAGCCTGCTAGTCGAAGTGAAACCGTTTTTATGAGGCCTTCGTAGTTTGAAAGCTCACTACTCGCCGAAAAGAGATGAGTCGAACAAGATCTTTCCGGCGACAGCAAGAACGGAGGTGCAGAAGTAGGCCAGCAAGCTCTTCTGCAGCACAGGATTCAGAGGCATGTAGAGCATCTTGGTCTGGTAGTCGCCTGCGCAAACATCGTCCAGTACTCAATGGCACCACTAGGCTGTCACACGACAACAAAGGTGGTATCAGGGTACGGAAAACACACCTGCCTCCTGAAGAGAGTCTCTTCACCATCACATCAATGAAGGACCGGACGTAATCCAGGTCAGGGCCCACTGCTTGGAGCAACGAGGCCTCACACATCGAGCGTCGCTGGCATGCATGTTCAGACTGAAGATGCAAGGGCCAATTTTTAACCTCAAGCATGACGAATACGCCACTAAACACGATCACCTTTGAAAGTCGTACTCCTAGCTGTTGCACTGTTCTCTGACGTCTTGCAGGCGTCCTGAAGCTGAAGTGCTGCCACAACACCTACAGCAGCATATATGGAGCAGCATAAACTGACTGTGTTGACAAGAGCGCGCCTCCTTCATCTCTACCAGCGTCTTCAGATGATTCTGTTGGGCGCAATGACATCCGACAGCTGCATTGATGCAAAGCCATGTTGATACGGCGAACACGACGATGATGTAGGCTGCGGAGAGATTCGGCGGCTTGCTCCAGACAATGTACTGGACCACAGCATCGGTGGTAAGGACTAAGCAAACGATCAGCAAGGACATGACCACCTGCTCGAAGCGGTCCAAGAGGAAGCGCACATCGTTGTGGAGAAGTGAAGCTCGGGCCATACCCCAGGCCCGCAGCTGCGCAGTGGAGAACTGCTGTTTGTGGATCCAGCGGATCAGGATGAAGTCCAGGATCTTCATGGGGTGCTGAGCCAAGCGCAAACCCTCTACTGTCTTGAACACCGTGACGCCGAAGAGGCCGCCGAACATGCACAAGATCACCGCCTTGAGGATCAAGCACAACCAGACCAGCGGCGTGCTGTCCGGAACACCGTGATTCGGAGGTAAGGTCCAGCGGGTGAGTGTTACCACAGTCTCTGCAATTCACCATGGACTCGGCGGGGTCACCGCAGAAGTGGTCTGCGAGCATCGCCCGGCGACCAATGGCGGCTTGTTGACGAAGTAATACGTGATCGTGAAGGAGTCGCCCTGAGGGGCCAGCGAGATCATCAAGGCGAAGCCACAAATTCCGAAGATCGCACCTAAGACGTGATGAGCCCGAATGCTCATGTACCAGGGTCGCCTCTGGCCGCTCTTGACAGCAGGAGCCTCCTTGAAGGACTGGACAATGGGACAAAACCAATAAAGCTTGAACATATCGACTTTGGACATCTTGCTCGCGCTCTCGCTGAAGTTGAGCTTGTCACCTGAAAAATCCTTCTGAGCAGCCTGGGACTCGGAAATGCCAGGGTCACCGAGAAGGCGCGTTTCCAAGTCCGCACGCTCGGACAGGAGTACTTCAGGGCCCCGCAACCCATCTGCTTCCTGTTCGATCTCATCCAAGCGCTTGTCGAAGTCATCGATCAAATTGAACTCCGAATCATGCTCGTCCACTTCGTCTGCGCCCATGAGGAAGCGAATCGCATCCACACCGAGCAGCATGGCGTTGGCAAGGTCGGAGTTCTCCCGTTTCCTGTTCTCCTGTATGACATGCATCTGATGACGGACCAAGGCCTTCAGCTCAACTGCGGCCTTGGTGAGCCTGTCCACCTCAATCTCATCAAAGTCAGCCCACTTCTCAAGCATCTCTTGCTCCCAAGCCATCAAATCAGGCCTCACGAATTCATCGTTCCCGTCGCAGCTGAAGTTTATCTACTCCGACAGTCTACTCTCATCAAAGATGGAAAGATGCACTAACTCGCTGAGCGTCAACACAATCCCTCCGGCTTCCGAGCTCTCAGGGAAGCGGTACCCACCGTCAGTCTTCTCGAGCTTGCTGTCCAGCATCTTTCCAGCCACCCCTCGCGACACCGCACCTGCAGCAAAGAGCTGGAACGCGGCTCTGACCTGCTCCGGTGTTGAAGCCTTCCCCTTCCCCGCGTTCTTCTGGAGAGCTTCTTCGAAATCCCACCAGACGTCTTCCGGAGACTCGTGCGAAACGTCAGAAGACCTGCTGCGTTCTGAAATGAACGCTTGACATGTCAAAACAGGAGCTCATTCACTTCTCGTGGGGCCGGGTTTGGGGCAAAGCTGTCAGAAACGTCCCGGTTGGACGCTTCTAACACACATTGAGACACTCAAAAGTAGTTTCAGAGTGCCTTCGGCAGGAGCAGCACCAGCCGTCGACGTAGTCTTCCGAATCCTGTCTCCATGTCTTCGAAACGTCAGATGACCTGCTGGGCTCTGAGATGAACGCTTGACATGTCAAAGCAGGAGCTCGTTCACTTCTCAAGTGTGTCGACTCAACAGTACTTTCAGAGTGCCTTTGCTACTGTTACTATTGCATGCCTTCGGCGGGAGCAGCACCAGCCCGGATCCTGCTTCGTTGCCGATGGCTTCAATTTCAATCCTTTGGCTTCCAAAAACCTAGCGAAGCCTGTTCCGGCCAGTTTTCGTCGCACAGTGCTCTTGCAGGCAGACTTCGGCATGGGTCTGTCACGGACTGCAAACTTGTAAAGCTCAGATATGACCATCGCCTCCACGTCCTCCTTCGTCCCGGATGCGTAATCTTCGCTTGGTTGGAAAGTGTCGACGAACTTCTCCCACGTCTCCTGTCTCCCTTCGACGTTGAGCTTGGCCTCACGCCTCCCCCGTAACCTGAGCACAAGCAGCATAGTAGATAGTGCGCTTTTTTTTTGAATCTAGAGGGGATTCCTAGTGCGCTAGGGCTGTATATGGGGATGACAGCAATCTGGAGGGTACTGAATGAGAGTTTCAGAAGCGAGGGCATAAGGACCCCTAAATACGGTACTCCTAATTTCAAGAACCGCTTTCCTTGCGAGAACTTCAGAAGGCAGCCACGAAGCTGTTTCATGCCGATGACACCCTGGTCCAACAATGCACCGAAGAAACACAGGGAGTAGATCAGCAAGGACACTGGCCAGCCCTGTTCCAAGTAAGCTCCTGTCGCGAAGCAGTTAAGGCGTCGGTTAAACACGGGTACCCGATCTAACCTGGGGTGCTTAGAATAAGGATGCTGCTTACTGCTATACTGTTTAGGATCCCTGGCAATAGTAGGGGTCCTGGTTTGCAAACATCTTCCACGCCATCCCAATCCCCATACCGCACACACGCATTGTCGAAGCCACCGACTTCGGGTGCGGCAGCTAATCGCACCAACACCGAATGTACAGCACATAGAGTCAGGAGGATGAAGATGACTTGCAAATGACGATCTGAATACCCGGCCCGGCAGCTGCCAATGTATTTAGCTAGGTTTGAAGCTTTGCATGCCCAGTACCGATCGGCATCGACCCATCTGCCCCTGATTGAGCAGTAGAGGACCGTCCCGAGGAACAGTGAGTACCAAATTGGGGTCTAATGCATGTTGCTGAAACCGCAAACAACAGGGCAAAATGAGTCCTTAGTGAAGAGATCGGTCGCGGGCTGCCCCATAGTGCACTCCAACTTGGTCTGGTTGCCGTCTGCGACCTGCTCTCGTCGTGTTTCGTGACAGAGCACAGGGGAATCTGTAGCCATCGAGAGCACCAAGGAGGGCAAAAACACAGCCCATTTCCAATTCCGCTGGGTTCTGTATCGGAGACAAACGAGATCATCACCGGCAACTTGCGGTTTTGAAACTGCTCCCAGCCATCTCGGGCCAGAGCCGGTGGCCAACTCTTGGCCGCCCTCCCTGCTTTCTCGAACTTCTGGTTGCAAGCAAACTCGTGCGCTTGCATTGGGCAGGGGATTAGCATGCTGGGATGCAGCACGACCGGCGCTGTCGCCTCGATTGAAATTGGAAGTGGAGGCTCGCCTTTCAGGCGCATGGCGGACTCACGCCGATGACACCAACTTACAAGGCAGAGCCTTGAACCAAACGGCCTGCTACGCGCAAAGTCCAGCATGCAACTTGCACACAAGGCTTGCAAAAGGCGGGAAGGTACTTCCATGGTCTCTCCCAAGGCAGCTGTCCAGAAGACCGCTTCCAAGATGTCAAGGAACCACCTGAGAGCGCACGCAGTCTCTGCAAAGCAAGGCAAGAGCGATCAGGATCTGCGGCTTTCTAGGTTAAACTACAGGTGGGGAGTTTAGGGTGTTTTAGGGCTTCTCTAAGGCTTCCACAAGGTATATAGACCTTCTATACGGCTCCTATAAGGGTAACTACCCACCTGAAAATGTCCTAGACTAGGTGATTTATGCGGGCTTCTGCGGTTCTCGGAGCTCAGAGGGGCTCAAGCAGCGCCAAAAAAAACACAGGGTTTCTGCCGTAATGGTCAACACCGCCGACCCCTCATCCCAAGCTCGCTCACCTCATGCGGAAGAAGACGTCCAAAACCTGATGCCCTAAACGCGCTTTGCCTCGGTTCAGGGTGGCTTCGGTTGCAAAGTGTGGTTCTGCAGCAACTGTTTGGGTTTAGGGATTAGGGTTTAAGATTTAGGGCTTTAGGGTACGTCCAGCAATCCTGGTGGCACATTCAGCATCAAAGTCAATAGTAAGACGCATGTCATCCCCGATGATTGCCCAAAGCGTCACCAAAAGGACCATGCAACAATGACTGTGTAAGCCCTTCCAATGTCGATCGACTTCTGCTCTTGACCGAGTGTGGCTGGGATCATAAATGCTCACTTGTTTCCTGGTAGAGAAAGCTGTTTACCCAGAAAAGATCGTTTCCAGTCCTCGGAACAGCACTGCGTTTAATCCGACATTTATACACCTGAAAAGAACCATAATCATAACAGCGACAACAATAATAACACTAACACCAATCACCAGTGTTACTATGATTATGAAATGTAATGCAATCAGAACGATCCAGGTAAGATAACACCAGCAAAGTCCTCTCCATCCATCCTAGTACCAGTATATAGTCAGTCTACTCCCTCGAAGGACCCCTAACGGAACCCTTAAAGGCTTAAGTGGTAGGGTTTCGGGTTTGGGGGGTTTAGGGTTTAGGGTTGAGCCCTTAAAAGGAAGCCCTGGCAGCTCTGGGCCATGCGGCGTCGGGCTTCTGCCGAAGGCCAATACGGGGATGGAGAAGCAATCCTGCGAAGGGGGTTCTGCAAGGGATACCATAAGGGTTTAGGGAGCAGGGTTCAGGGTTTTGGGTTTACAGTGGGGGTTTAGAGAAAGGTTCCGTTTATAATTCGGGTGACTATAAGAGTTTCTGATTTACCGTAAGGTTTCGTATAGGTGACCAGAAGGGTTTAGTATGGGATACCTTGAGGGCTTCTGTACGGGCTACCACATGGGTTCGGTGCAGGTTACCATAAGAGTCTATATAAGAGTTACCACAAGGTTTCATGCTCTCTTTCTGACTGTATCTCCGTCACTTTGTATATAAAGATACATATAAATGAATAATACATACATATATATATATATATACATACATACATACATACATACATACATACATACATACATACATACATATGTCATACATACATACGTCATACATACATACATACATACATACATACACGCAGACATGTAGTTCTTGATCGATTGACTGACTGATCAATCGATTCATCGACGAGCAGAAGCTGCACATTTCGCAGAAACGCCCGGCTGCACCTGGAGGATGACCAGGGCGGAGAGAAAGGCCCAGATCTGCCGCCAGCGCTCCTGCTTTGCTGGCAAGCAAAAATTCGGATTTGAGGGTTCAGGGCTGACGGATTTGAGGGCTTAGGGCTTAGAGTTTCGGATTTTAGGGTGAGGGCTGACGGATTGTAGGGCTTAGAGCTTATAGAGGTTTAGGAGTGCAAAGTGCCTTAAGCTCTCAAGGCCCAGGGCCTAGGTGCAGCGTTGCGGTTCCTGCGATGGAGCTAAACGATCCCAACAACAACTTAGCTGGGGCTGCTCGAGTCACAAAGCGTAAGGCTTGCCGGAAACCCTAACCCCTACACCCTAAACCCTACACCCTAAACCCTACACCCTAAACCCTACACCCTAAACCCTAAACCCTAAGCGCTACACCTACACCCACCCTGAAGCCTCAGCTCACGACTTACACAGCAAGCCATGAAGAGCCCGACCTTAAACCCTAAACCCCAAACCCTAAATTACTAAACCCCAAACTCGCCCAAACCGTAAAGCCAAACCCCTAAACCCCAAGCCCTAAATTACCAAACCCCAAACCGTAAACCCCAATCCCTGAATTTCTAGGGCCCCAAAGCCGCAAAACCCTATAAACCCTAAGCCCCGAGACCCCTGTAGCCCCGGAGAACCCCCAACAACAACCCTAAACCCCAGACCGTAAACCCTAAACCCTGAACTACTAAACCCTAAACCCCAAACCCCAAACCGAAAACCCAAAACCCCAAACAACCTCTTTTCCCTTTGTCCGAGCAGCCCCACGGAGCTTTCGGCCCCACTTGAAATTCAGCTTCCTCCCGGACCTGGAGGACTTTGGGGGCGTCTGTTGGCGGTTTAGGGTTTTGGGGCTTTGGGGGTGTTTTGGGTTTTGGGGGTTTTGGGGGTTTTGGGGGTTTTGGGGGTTTTGGAGGGTTTTGGGGGGGTTTGGGTGGTTTGTGGGGTGGGTGGTTTGGGGGGTTTGGGGGGTTCAGGGTTTAGGGTTTTGGGGGTTTCGGGGGTTTCGGGTTTAGGGTTTTGGCTAAACCCTAAACCGTTTAGGGCTCAGGGTCTTCCTGGCACATGCTGAGTTTTACGACTTTGCGGTTTGGAGGCCGCCGTCTTGGCCGGATACCTTCAGGTGTTGCGGAATTTGCAGCGGCCCGCTTGGAGTTTAGGGTTTATAGGGTTTAGGGTTTAGGGTTTAGGGTTTAGGGTTTAGGGTTTAGGGTTTATAGGGTTTAGCCTTCTTCTTCCTGAAAGGTCCTACCCTGTTGTCTTCAGAGCTTACAACTGAATTTGTAGCTTAACTCCTGGATTGGCACCTAAACTACTCTAAGAACCGTATGTCGCATTGAGGCACACAAACCGCTAGCAAAAACCTAAGGTAGATCCTGGACAGCCGGATTCCTTACATAAAGAACGCCTAAACCCCACACCTGTAAACCCCACAAGCCCTGAACCCCAAAAGGGAACCTTTCGTTTTGAGAAACCGGAAAGGGTTAAGGGTTCAGGGTTTTCGGTTTAGGGATAGGGTTTAAGGTTTTCGGTTCAGGGTGTTTAGGGTTTAGGGTTTAGGGTTTAGGGTTTAGGGTCTAGGGTTACGGTTTAGGAATTCGGGTTTAGGGCTCAG